TATAGTAAGAGGTAGGAGGTAGAGAGGTTATGTTTCATGGGGATTCTGCTGTTTCCAGCTTTTCTCCTCTTTTACTTAACAAAATTTGATGAAATTTTGTAGATTGACTTACAACTGACCATAGAAGAGAGCTCAACTATTGTAATTGCAAAACAATATCAAGTAGTAAAGCATCTACTTCACATGATTCATGAAGAAGTTTTACTATTTAACACTGCAAAAAAAAATCACCTGTCACATTCTACTATAAATGTCCCAAAACGCAGATTTTTGATGTTCGTGAATGTATTTTTTTTCTTTGGGACTTGTATTTTTTCGCACTTGCGGGACTTGAACTTTTTTCAGCGCATGGAACTTGTAATTTTGTGAATCGGAAATTTTTCAAAACTCACAATTGTCACCTATCTCATTCTACTATAAAAGTCCCAGAATGCATAGTTTTTATGATGGCTAAAAAAAAAAATTTTCCTCGGGATTTGTATTTTTTTCGCACAGCCAAAAAATCAGCTGACGATTTGGCATCAAAAATCAGCTGATTTATCAGCTGACAAATCAGCTAACTTTTTCTAGCAGTGTTAATATTGCTCTGCAAATGTTAGAGCTGAGTGCTCTTCTATGGTCATTTTTAAGTCGATCTGCTAAATGTCATCCAATTTCGTTAAGCAAAAGTGAAGAAAAGTTGAGAACGGCAGAATCCCCATAGAACATAACCTCTTTACCTCCCGCGCCTTTTTAGGATGTTCATGACGAGTTGGATTTTCTGATAGATTTTGCTGAAAATTTAAATAGATATAAGTTATGACTGACAATGTTTCATGCAAAATTTCTGACCATTTCACTACACTGTATTTGAAATATGTGTTAAAAAAAAAATCAATTTAATAAATATATAACTTTACGAAGCAGCCACATGAAAATCGATTTTTGATGAAAATGATCCATACAATTTGCGTAATTTTTTTTGCATGACACAATACCATATAAGAAGGGTAGTATTTGATTTTCAGAGGAATCTACTAGTTATTTTTACAATTAAATAAAAAAACGGTGTCAGACGCATATATATAGGTGTATTAATGCATGCAAAACAGTTGCTTGCGCTGCCGCATGCTCACTCTTCCCTTACTGCACTCGACATTTCCCCACTGACGGTCACAAACGTCCTTAAGAAAGAAAAAATGAATCAGTAGTACCTAAGTCCAAGTATAACTGGTTATAAAATAATAATATTTATCTGTATTGTTATTGAAACGTATGCGAGAAATGTTTTATGGGTATAAAAAAGATTTATTTACAAATTCTTTAACAAATTGTAATTGCTATTTTACAGTAAGTAGAAGTGAAAATAACATTACAATGTATGTAGGTATTTATATTTATATGTGTGCAATGTACTCCACGGTTATTAAGAAATGTAACAAATATGATCTTAATAAATTGTATTTTTTTATGTGTTTTCGTTACATCTGTAGAACCGCAGGCAGAACGAGTTCACGTCTTCAGATCAATTTGACAAGGAAAAAAAACTGATGGAGACAAGATGAGTGATAACGAGTAACCTAGGTGGGCACAGGATATCCGAAAAAGATCGAGTGCAAACACTGATTTCAGTTTATAAACAGTGATGTCTTGTTAGTGTATATCATATGTAAAACAAAGAATTGAAAAAAACAATTTTACAGATTGACAGTTGGTCGCAAAAGTTCTTCTTAAGTTTAACAGAATTTCTAATATTTATTCTGCGATCGTAATGAAGAATAAACATCGACCAATTTCCTAGAATTTACTTGTGTTAATCTATTTCGATATATGTTATGGACGTAAGTCCATTGTGAAAAGTATGCTTCTAACTGAGCTGTAGAAGCTGGTATTAGAAGTAACTTTATAGCATACTTCGCCAAGTTAGGAAAAAAGGCTTTACTCAACTTCCAGTAGACAATGGGTTTGCGACATCTCGCTTGCAAAGGTAACAATTCTTCTTTATTTTCTAAGTATTCATGAAGTTCTTCTAGTGTCTGAGAGTCCATAGTGTTTCTAAAAAACTGGTACGCCTTTTGGTTTTGCTCCGGACTCAACAGACTCCCAGCATACTTATGGTGTAGAACATAGGCTGCAAAATCAACTGGTTTCAAAGCTCTTAAAATTCTATCCTTTAACAATTCTTGTTGTTGAATATTATGTAACCTTAAAGAAAGCCACAACTGAACAGTATCAGCTGCATTGCATACAGGATCTTGAGCTTTATAAATCAATTTGCACACTGGCTCTAATAAATCGATTAGGTCTGTTAGCTGAGTTGTAAACACATCGTTATTAATAATGTTTAAAACAGAAGCCTTAATGTTAACATTTTCTAATGTTGATATTTTTATAAGTATGTCGATGTTATTTAAAATACTAACTGCACTATCACGTAGATAAGCAAACCGGGTATCCGGGTAGTTACGTAGCAGTGTACCCCCATACTTAATTACTAATGAATCAAGTTTCGGTTCGCGGAAAGCATGAATAACTTCTCTCATATTATCTGAAAAAGTGGAGGGAACTAAACTTTTTAATAACAAGTTTGCACTATGACTAGCGCAAGTTGAGTGCCATAAGGTTTCACCAGCAGAACTTTCGGCAAATCGACCTCCTCTTAAGATTTTGGCATCATTATCTGATTTAATGGCAAACACATCAGTTTCGTAAAATTCTTTAACGTAATCAATGGCATCAACCATAACTTCAGGAAGGTATTCTCCATCTTCGCGCTCCAAAGAAGCATCATATGCTTTCAAAAACGTGTGAGAAATGTTTTCGTTGCGCAGGCTGCAAACAACTATTTTGCGGTTTATCGTAGAATTTTTCCAACCATCTATTAATAGGACACTATCAGTGCCTCTTAATTTTTTTTTTCTATCATTAACTATCTTCTCATGCAGCTCATTGACACATGTACTGGCCAAAGTTTGACGACATGGAGGTTTGTACTTTGTAATTTTTGTTTTGCGGAGAGCTTCAACAAAATTTAAAAAGTACTTATCTTCTACAACCCTGTAAGGGATGTTACATGCGCAGAAAAATTCTGTTAATTTTTCATTCAAATCTTCTACTGTTAATTCTTCATCGTCGTGCAGAAACAGTTCTTCCTAAGGAAATAAAATAAAAATTACAATTAGAATTTAAAATAATCTTTAAAGAGTAACAGTTATTGATATGAGTACTAGTAAATGAGATTGAACATGTGACCGTAGGTCATATTTCTACAAAATGCAATTATTTAACAATCTTTATAAAATTGGCACCCTAACCTCAACTACTGCTTAGTCTACTTTACTCGATTGGTAAGTTCATTGGTTAGAATTTATGAGGGCTGTAGGTGGGTTATTTCGAGACCTACCAAAATAGCCACACACACACAGACACGCCGCATTCATACACACATACACGCACA